TCCAAGGACACCATTTGTGTTTTGGATTCCTCTCTAAGCCCAAGGTAGTGCAGTGATTCCAAACTGCAGCCGGGTGCTGTAAGGTGCGAATTGGCTGATCTCCCCATGCAAGGGACGAATTGGCTGATCTCTCCATGCAGCTAAACTGTAGAGGGTGCTTGGGGTGCTTGGGGTGTTGAGATCCTAGTAGATTTACTGCAGCAAGGGCGCAAGATGGAGGATTTCACACGCTACTCAGCGGACCGTTGAACTACCGGTGCGTGGAGGCTTTCTTCTGACAAGCCGATTCTCACGTGCATTCCAAAAAGAAACAAACCGGCGTGTTTTCTTTTTTGGCTATCAACCTAGTACCGCTAGCCATTTCCCTCTATTAGGCCGAGCAGCAACTGGTGATACTCATCATGCCCAGGGCCTTCTGGGTTTTGTGTTGGCCCTTTGTGACTCCCGGCCTCCACTCCCCTCCCCCCCCTCTCTTCCTTCCCCTCCCTGTCTCAGTCCAAGCCCAGTGCGCCACATGACATTAGAATCTAACAAGTAACACATGTGAGAGAGTAAGCAAGAAGGAATGGGTGTGAAGGCTGGCAGTGCAATGAGTCAGCCTTTTGTAGACGGCTCCTGGCAATCACATTTGTCCACTGGCTGTCACATATTTCTGCTGAAGTCTGCATTGTGGATGTCATGGGGGGACCAGTGCTCAGGCTGTTGTTTGGGTCCACAATGACAAAAGCACATAAAACATCAACTTTTACATTAGACATTAGAATCTAATAAGCCCTCCCTGTCTCAGTCCAAGCCCAGTGCGTCACATGACATTAGAATCTAATAAGTAACACATGCGAGAGAGTAAGCAAGAAGGAACGGGTGTGAAGGCTGGCAGTGCAATGAGTCAGCCTTTTGTAGACGGCTCCTGGCAATCACATTTGTCCACTGATGACGCTAAAATTCGCTTTATGATAGACAAACAGGGCCATGCATTTTAAAAATAATAATTTGTATAGAGTCTTCTTTCAAAAACAGTATACCAATCTATACTCAAAAACTCTTTCCAAAATGAAGTTAAAATACACAAAATCATTCAACTTATGAAAACTCAACATTGGTCAGCGCTGAGCTTTCACATATTTCTGCTAGAGTCTGCATTGTAGATGTCATGTGGTGACCAGTGCTCAGGCTGTTGTTTGGTTCCACAATGACAGAAGCACATAAACATAAACTGTTACACCACCTGTGGGAACCACCACTGGTACCTGGCTGGGGGTGGGTTTGCATGCGATCTGCTGTTATTGGATTTCAGTCAAGTGGGCATGCCCAGGGGTTGGTTAATAACTTTATATGCTATTCTCTACTGTGTCACTGGATTTCAGTTATACCACCACTTCGACGGCTCCTGCACTGTTCATTTTTCCTGTCTACAAGTACTGAGCCAAAATCTACCGTGTTTAAGCATGGCAGAGGTTTGGTGGGGAAGGGTACGACAATTACTTTTCCTCACGGCGGGACTGTAGATTTCAGGCTCGGGAAAACGCATCTTTGGGTTTGTCAAAATAGGTCCGGATGGAGTGGTGGTTTAAGTGCTAGGTTGTTGCTTTTTGTTCTTGAACCATCAGTTCCCGACATGTTCTCGACATCTCTTGTAGCTGAACTCGTTCGCATGTGGTCCCGGCGTAGTTGTCGCTTTCAGGGTTACGTGTTCTGCTGCATTGTTTTCAACATTGGTTTTTCTTTTCTTTTTTAAACCACGACTACCTCCAAGCCTATTTTTATCGAGGTGGGGTAGAACACTGCGCGCCAAGCGTCCCCGAAGTGACAACGCGACCTTGTTCCTTCAGTTCTTGGCTGGCACTGCCAGCCATTTTGGTGCAGTGGTGCTTGGCCGCCAAAGAATGTGGTATAGGTCAGAGTAGTCACGCTGACGGTCACCCGTCGGCTGCCGACCAGCCGACGGTAGGCGCCGTCGGCGCCGACCAGTAGGCACCCCACGCCGACCAGAATTCCAAATAATCCCATCCACAGCTCCATATTCCCCCCCAACACCCCCATACACC